TAAACAAATGCTAAAATTTGCAAACATTTGAAACTTTATATAATACGCTACCAAGCATTTGCCTAATATAAGAACAAATCTTCGCTTTAATACAAATAATTCGCGCTAGCAATGAAGGTTTTCAATTCAAATTCAAATAACAAAAATCGGCGTCATCCTTTGTGAGCAGAGTTGGGGTTAAAATGTTTAACATTTTCGCAGCAATGACTTTTAAGTGGTGACTTTATTGAATTCCAAGCTGTCAGGCAGCGAGACAACGAGTGCTAGCATGTCGAAGTGGCAACGAAAACAAAGTCGATACATGCATAAGTTCATAAATATACATATATGTACATACATTATATACTCGTATGTATGTGTTTTTATACTTGTATGTGCATAACAGTGGGTTTTTGTTGGAGGCAGCAGCTCAACTGCTGAGCACAAATTTATGTAGACATAGCGAAGTAAATTATTAAATTAAACAATTATCTTCAGATAAATCGCTGGCGGAAGAACAAGAGTGCCCATTTTTGTCACAATTTTTTTGTTTGTTGTATTTTTTTTTTTTTTGTTGCTATACACATACATATGTATATTGTTTACAAATGTAATGCGATAGCAAACTTTTGGATTAAAAATCCCCTCAAATTTAACGCGGATGGAAAAATTCGGGATCGAAGATGAAAACGACTTTTTTGCAAAAACAACAATAAATAATTTTAAATGAATTTTTGTTCTTTATTGAAAAACTGTTTATTTGTTTTTTTTTTTAATAAAATATTGTGAATATTAATTGTGCTATAAAATATATTTAATGTATATATATCAACTGCTTTAATTAATTTATTTTTGTGCACATTTATAATCTAATATGTTAATTTCAACCTTTCGATTGCGCTTTTAACAATCTTTTTACAAAATCACTTTGCTAAGCAGGTGACTCTAACCAATTTTTATAATTTTTTATAATCATAATATTAAAATATTTTAAAATTGTTTAAAAATAAAACTTACAAGCTATTTATTAAAAATATATACATATGTATATATGAATATTGAATCAGGTTTTAAAGGCTCTCTGTGCTTGGTATTTGCATAATTTTGCAAAAACAAACTTAAATTTTTTTTAATATTTATATATGTATCCGTATGTATATATCATCACCTAAAATGCTAAACAAAGTATTATCAAAAAATCGAATTGAGTTTTTTATTGCTTACAATTCACCACATTATATTATATGTACATATGTAGCATAAAATTTAAGCTACCGCTTTTAGATATAACCAGTATATAACCAATATATTACCAAGATATAACCATTTTCTAACCAAAACTCAAATTTTGTTTCTTTGAGTGGTTTCTATAATATAATATAGTTGTTCTTTCGCCTGTAAACTTATGAAAACTGATGTTAAATTATTTTGCCTTTTAGGCCAGTTTAGTGATGTATGTAAATATGTCAGAATTAAATACCGTTGTTTATAAAAGTTGAATATTTGCTCTGCTTTACTTTTTTTAATAAATACAAATACATACCTATGTAACATATTATTTAATAACTCACTGGCCTTCCTAACTATAATT